AGAACTGTATATCACAGAATCACTACCTGGCCCTTACTGTCTAAAATGTTTTAACTCAAGTTGGTAGCTGTTCTCTTGAGCCACATAATCATCAAAGGTCCATCATTAATCATTCTAGTCCTGAGTGAAACATGCCCTCTTTGGGTCAACATAATATACCTTGGTGACTATATCCAGAATGTGGTAGAGCCTGGTGAGGGCATCGTGGTGTTTCCCCAGGGAGATCGGCAACTCGGCATGAAGCACACGCAGTGAAAACGGCACCATGCTCCCTAGGCACACACACAAATCAGTTCCGAGGAAACTCAACCTCAAACGCACTTTTAACTTTCATGATTCCTTCAAACGCGAGGGGAAAGTGAATAAATTTGAGAACAAGCAAAGGATTACATTGATTGATTTTCGAGGATGTGAACTGTGACCTGGGGGATGCTTTTACTGATCAAATTTCATGGAGTGGCCAAGCCTGGAAAACTTCCGAGCACATAAAATAATGTATTTCAATTGGTTATTTACTGTAATCCATCTAGTGAAAGATGGTCATTTGAAGCCTTCACAGTGAAGAAGGCAATGAAGAAAGGTTCAGTTTTTAAAGGTGGGAGGAAAACTGCAGATGACTTTATCCAGGGAAAACCCCCACAGAATCAGGTAGGGACTGAAAAACTCTATCCACATGCAGACCTTGGCGGGATTCGAACCCCAGGCCAGAGGCAGAAGGCACGGAAAGAGTCATTACACCAGCCCGACTCCCCAGTTGCTTAGCAACACTGGGTAACCAGCTAGCGGTGTGCATATGGGTAGCGGGGGACTGGGTACCCTACTGAAGTCCCCGGGTACCCGTGAAGCAAACCCCACCCAAAATTCAAGTGCTTTGACAAAAATGCTCTTCCAGTACGCTGCAGCTTTGATGTGATGCTACAGCAAAGACTGCAACATCTGCGACACAGCCTTGCAAACTTGTGCCAAAAGTCCAGGCTTTCAAACTAATTTGGGGAATAACACAGTATCCCCCTATGACAGGGCATGAGTACTGTAAAGCACGTAGAAGACGGTCCACACAGTTCAGGCAGCAATAACCTTTGGTGGACTTGCTCCAAACCTTGCAAGGTTCCTCCTCTCTGAGAACTGTTTCAGGCCAATTTTTCCATTGGGGGTTTATCCGTTGCAAATGAACCTTCAAGGATATCGTGATCAAAATTCAGGCTGAAAGGATGTTCAAAGTGCCACTGAAATAATATGTTTCTCGATTTTTAAACTATATGTAACCAAACGAATATACAAATCCAGTAAGTAATGTAAATAGGTGTGGCGATAACAGTGTGCAGGCTTTCAGTGGGATAAACAAAATTCACTGCAACTCTCCTCACAGAAACTAACTTTCTGAATATACCTTGCCTTCCAGCATAGAGGTCTGGGTAGTACTCAAAGTAAAGGTCCGGCCTGTCCAGATCACCAAAGGCTTCACATTCAATCTCCGCCATGCTGTACTGCTGGAGCTTAATCAGAAGGGCAAGGCGCGTCAGCCATATCTGAACAGCAAAGCAACCACCAAACAATGTCAACGATTTGTATCTCATAAACATAATCAAATTCTTTGTGGCTTTTTTTCATAGTTGTAAGTACACAGTTCAGAATAGGATTGTTTGGATGGGGACCAGGGTGCCACTCACCTGTAGCGACTGGGGGGTGTTCTTGGAGGGGAGCCCGGCCTGACCTTTGCCTTGACCCAGGGAGGTCAACAGGAGTCCTGTCAAATCAACGGCTGCCCGCAGGCAACCAGTGTCCTGCACCACACAACAGGGAAAAGTACTTCTTTAGTATTAAAAAAATCATTCACTTGCCTTACTTTAGCCACCTACTTGTTTCAGTTTTAAGAAAATGAAAAACTTGATAAAGCTCTGAAGTCACCTAAACGTACAGTAAACCTCATTAATTAATGACGGCACTCTTGATACAATGTTCTACTTATAACAAGTACATTTTTAGGTCCTAAGCCTTTGTTCCTCATTGTTTTCAATGTTATAACAAGGTTATCTACAAAGTCCGAAGGACCTGTTATTAATGAGTCCTCTTATTAATGAGGTTCGACTGTATTGCAGAGAATGAAAAACATATTAACCAATCACTGCCGGGCGGAATTTGCACATGCAGGACAAGTTGCCAGGTGATTTTTCATGATTTTTCGGTTTAAAAATTGTTCAAAAATTCACAACTTCATTTACTGAACATTTACACCCACACAAATGACTGTCTGGTGGCTACTCTAACCTGACAGGCAACCTCCATTGATGCCTGGGTATTGCAGCCAGGCCTTCTGCCCAGTAACGAGAGCCCAGCGGTGCTGCCTAATTGCCTTTGTTCCCAAAATTGGCCCAGTGCATTGCTCAATGGCAGTGATGTCTTTACAAATGTGGCCAGATTAGTATTGTATCGCTCATCGCTGGAGTGCTGAAGCACCTTTGTTCCCGCTGATAATCCACGGGTGCTGAATGCCCCTCAAACAGTGGTATACTGTTTCAAAACAATGCCGGATTACCTCTGAAAATGCCAGCACTCTGTGCTGGAAAGTTTTGGCAAATCCCAGCTGCTCGGTCTTTTGTTCCGAGTCCAGTCTTTTATTACAAGACCCGGTTCCTTTTGTCTGATTTCGGGCACCCCAGCCATGCATATAAAGCCAACATCTCTGGTACCGGGCTCCCCGACACGGAGTGGTTAAGGCGTTCTTCATATCCACAACAAGGACACATGCACCTCCTTCGGGGGAGAAACATACCTACCGTGTTTATAATCACAGTGTACTTGCATTCAAATTTGTAACAGAATCAAGGAAAAAAACAGGGGTGTGTGTGTTCAGTCAATGCATGTGCAAAGCCGTGCAGGTGCCATATCCAATTGTCTGAAGAGAATGCTCACCACTAATTTCTTCAATCCGGCTTCGTCGCGGGTGACTTGGTCAGCAGTCAGGGCCATGCGCTTACCAGCCTCAGCCTCCCCCATGTACCGATACACCAACTCCTTCACTGGATCTCCCTGTTGGGGTTTAATGAATTATACATCACCACCTCCACGCATCCATACACATATTATTAATTTGATAGCCATGAATTATTCATCATCTCATGAACTTTGTCAGCATTATGAATAGTGTTACAAGGGCTGTGATATTAAGGCCACAAATTTTGTTTTTATGTTTCCGAAACCACAGTAGAAGAAACCAAGGCCAAGGAAATTGTGACTGAGAGAAAGATTCGCTTACTTGCGGCTCTTCCAGAATGATTCCAGGCATTGTTAGCTGGCTTCGGTCCACAAACTCTGTCCCTTGCAGGGCCAGCATCCTGTTGGCAAGAACCTTCTGCGAGGCAGTGGAGGGCAGCCAGGCATCATGTCTGCGGTCACTCTGGCTTGTGCTTATGGCAGCGGCGAAGACGTCCTCCCCCTGTGAAGGGCTTAGCGGGGCAAAGAGCTGGGTATTTGGAGGAGTGTTCTCCTGAGCCTGTGGCTGGGGAGAGGGCTGGAGTGGGGAGGGCTGATCAGTGGCGGGCCCGGATGGCAACTCTTGGTGATCTGTTGGTGGTCCCTGTGGTTGCCTGAGGCCTCCTGCCGCTAGGGGGCCTGGAGCTGTGGAATGAATCTTCGAAAATGCAACCTTGAGGGGCTCCCCGGTCGTTTGGTCCTGGACGCTGCAGACATGCGGGCTGGTAACCTCAGAGAGTGGGGAATGCTGGTTGGGAGTCTGATCTCTTGGAGCCATTTCAGGGCTTAGCTGGGCAGAACTCTGACGAGCCAGCTCAAGGAGAGTCTGCTTGGAAGATGGGGGATCCTGAGAGGACACTTGAGAGCTGCTTTCTACCGAGACCTCCTTGGCAGATGTCTCCATGTGAGATGCGGGCAGTTGGTCTACTGATGGTGCAGAAAGCGAGCCTTGAAGTTGCTGGGGCACCGTCCCACGTGCCTCGCTGGGGGAGGTTGCATTGGCGGTGTCTTCTTCAAGCCGTGGACTTTCGAGTGAGCCCGTACTTGGAAATCCATCACCACAGCTCGTGAAGGAATCAAAGAAGCCCTCCGCATCAGCATTGCTGACTTCAGCCACGCTCCCCTCCTCAAAGAAGCTGCTGATGGGAGGCTGCCCTCCAGGGACCGTCACCGTCTCCACAGCCACCAAACTCTGGGGTTGGCTGGCATCAGTGATGGGGCTGAACTGGAACTGGCCACCTGGGCTGCCTATGGGCTGAGTCTCAAAGCCATCCACTGAAGTTTGCTTCTTCACCTCCTTGGCTGAGGTTCCTGACCCTGTCGAGCCCTCCTGAGTTTGCTCACCTTCTATCGGCACATCTGCTTCGAGACTTGATGGACTGGAAACCGGAACCTGTACTGCAAACTCACTTGCGGGATTCGCACTAGCACCTTCAACTGGATCCCCAAAGAGACTCGCGTCGAATGGCTTAGGCGACCCAACTGTTGCCTTCTGGGCACCCTCCAGCTCTTTTTGCTCTTCCGCCCGAGAGGCTTCTATCTTTTCAACCTCGATGTCTTCTTCAGCAGGGTCTGTCTCAGGATTGAGACCCTCGGCGCTCAGCGTGTCATCCAGTGGGACCGAGTCCTGAGAGACACTGTCAAGATTGATGACATCGCCAACAGTAGCATGGACGGGGAGAGTGTTGAGGGCATCTGAGAAGAGCTCATCAGAAGGATCCATTTCAATTCAGATAGTTCACCCTGTTATTACAGGATTCAATAGAAATGATGAAATCAGGAGGTCAGCTTTATGATTTTTAACAATTGAGAACGCCTGGAGTGGCATGCAGTCATCATGGTCATGGCCTGGCTGCACAAACTGTACACAAACACAAAATGGCATCGTCATTGCCATTTTAGTTACATAAAATGGCAATGGCACATTACAGAGAATCCAAAGTGTTCACCAAGTACATGTATCTACAACAACTAACCACAGAACTGTGGGCATGGTGGGTGTAATCGTCAACTGCACTCCTACAGTATGTGGGAGTGTGGTGGACAACAAACTCCACAGTTTTGAGGTATACTTGGACCAGCTAACAGGGCCCTATGTAGACTCCTTCCTCATGACAAAGGAGCATACGTAAAGCCCTATTTATGGGTCTGGGGTTAGGGTATACTAGGCCTAGTCCAAGTAACTTGGTCTCTACAAATCGCCTTTTTAAACATTATTTTGGACATGGTCAGGCAATTTTACAGCCTGACCGCATCCAACTGTTAAAAATGTGATTTGTACTTTTGTAGAGACTAAGTTCTTTACTCTATGCTCGGACTAACGTGTGTGATGGAATACTTGCCAGGACCCTTATTTCGCCACTTGCTGTGAAAACCAATCAGACTTGACAATAGGTGGCTAGGGACCTGGCGGCTATACAGTCACGCACGTTATTGGTAGGGGTATACATGATGTATATGTAGGCCTACTACATGTCCACGGCCGGCTCACACTCACAGTCACACATTGTCAGTGAAACCTTTTGACCTTGGCTTCTAATTAGTCCCACTGAACCACAGAAAGATGTATAATGCCAAATAATGGTTTAACTATTACATTCTCATTAAATACAGACACTTTCTTTTCATAAGCACTGGCGTTCATACCCAATTTAGTGATGAAAAATGCAATCTTCACCTCCGATTTTGCAGCGAAAATAACTCAAGACCACCAACTGATCATGCGTGTGAGGGCGTACCTCCAAATTTTGCAGCCGTAATTGTGTCTGGGTTCTCGTCCCTACTCATGATACTGTTCGCACAAATAATGAAGGTTGCCAGCCTAGCTGAATTGTCAACATGGAGGATGATGCGCCGGTCATTTACGGCCTTGAGTTTCAGGTAAAAACAACTGCTTTTATTCATACCATGGATCATTTTTAGGATTTTAGTAAACTACAGAACGCTTACATTATTTTTAGCTCTTCAGAATGCAAAATGCGAGCAAGGGTTATCACAAATGAGCCGTCTTTACATGTTAATGTCTTCCCAGATTCCGGACAATGTACTGATTACTAATGCCTGGCTGGGCTACATGTCTGGGAGACTCTTTTTTCAGCTGGTTGTTTCTGTTTTCTTTGTGAAGTGATCTTGGAGGGGATGCCATAAGAACCATTTTAAGTTCGGATTCCATAGGATTCTGCGAAGCAGAGAAATACTAATTGAAAGCAGGGATATGTTTGAATGTTTTATGTTTTTTTGTACATAATCCTAGGCCTAGAGCAAACTGCGATTTCTTTGTATACAAAGGTCAGACATGAAAGTGAGTGTGGATTTTGATCAAAAAGCTTAAAATTCATATTTCCATAAAATTTTTGTTTTTATTTGTGCCTAGTTGTGGTTTGAAAGTTCACTTGAAATTTCAAAAATTAAATAGAGGAGCTACAGCTTGCAGAAAAACACAAATTTTAACCAGAGTTTCCTACATGTGTATTCAAGAAAATGAGTTCCCAAATAAGCAGCACCTTTGCTCATTTATGCATGGCCCTATAAATGTCAATTACCTATAGGCTTAGCTACCAATAATATATGTGGCCATTCCTCTTCTCGTCATTCTGATGTCGAAATTCTGGCAGTGGACTGGAGAGACTATTGCATCCTGACTTCTCCTCAGTGGTTATGTACAAATTTAAAATTTAGTATTTCCTGACAAAATCTGGAATTTTTTTCTCCGTCTCAGCTAGATTCATATTTTTTTAGTATTTTGTCAGACTCCCCGTATCCTTCCACGGAACTAATTTTGTCAGGCTTCTTTATGTAAATTAAAACACAATGTGTCATTTGTTTTGCCTGTAAATATTTCTTTTGCTCCCGGAAGAAGGTCATAAGTGCTGACGGTCTTTTGCCGGGAAGCGTAATCGCTGCCAAAAAATGTTTTCCCGGCAAAAGGACGTATGTTTGCAACTGTTTTATTTCAATGAAATATAAAGATTTCTTTGCAAATAGTTCCAAAAGAATTTCCCAAGTCATTTGACTAAATGTTCAAAGGTTACTTTTTGTACAGCCTGTGTTGATTTTGTAGTAAAATTTATCCGTTTTTACAAAATGAAGAGAGTGTGTTTCTTAAGCCCTTTTACCGGGAACATTTTTTCTACTGTGATCATGCGTCTGGGCAAAAGGACGTAAGTGCACTTACGACTTTTTGCCGGGCACACAATGTTTTTCTTCTGTAGGCCAGAGCACTGACTGCCCAGGCTGCTGAATCTGAGGTCATTAGATTTCTGGTTGGGACACAGTCTTTGAAAAATGAGAACCAGGTAGGTTTGGGTTAATTGAACTCGCAGGAGCAGTCACATCAAAATAAAGTTTCTGCACAAGTGCCATCTAACGGGCAACTGAATTGCAAGAAAACAATAATAGTTTCTACAATTTAACCAGAAGACTGTGATGTTCATGAAGCTGATTTAGTTTGTTAGGGTAAATTCCTTGGTTTGGACATTGACCCTGTAATTTCTCAAAAGTGAGCTAAGTGTATTTTAAAGGAAATTTCATATATTATACATAGATATATGCATACATATTATTATTGTATTTTATTTGCTTTTTACTAATGGCACCGGATTAAGATGCCTTGGCCTTTTTTCTTTTCTCCTGTCATGTGCCATTAGTTTGTCCCATTGTACTGTTGTTTTTTTTATTGCATTGTTCTGTATTGTGATGTGTATTTTTTGTGATGGCAAATAAAATAATAATGACAATAAATGTAACTGTAACTCCCTTGCGCATGTATTGTTTTCACTGACTTTGCCTTCTTAAAGGGGAAAACCTGCACACACATACTTGTTCTGTAGTTGTGGGAACAAACACACAACATTTCACCTACATTATTTTGTGGAGACCAGAAACATTATGGGGGAAACAGAAATGTCGCCACAACTTGGTCCCAACTTGCCTAACAACGGAAATTGTTCCCGCAACCCGGTGAAGGCCTGCCTATAAGACCTGATGGCTGAGACACCCTGTGAATTGATAAAATGAAAATGTTTTCCTTGTAAATGTTGCGATTTGAAGGAACGGTAGTTTCAAAGTTAAAAGACTTATGCCAAGTTGATACATATCTCTCTAACTACAGTACTGTGTTTTACTGTAAGGTTCACTTGCTTGAATTTGATGATGACAACAATATCCTCAACAAGATGGTGTTCCTGCACAAGGACGGCGAAATATGGCACATCGGCTCCAACCCCGCCGACAAGAACATCCTGACAACGTGTTACAATAAAAGTAGGTCCATCTGTCAGAGGCAGACCGACTTAACTCCTCAGGAGATGCAGTTGCCAGCTAGTTACAACACCATGCTTCTACAAGCATTTGCTCCATAGTCAGCAACTTGACCGGTTCACGGTTGATGTCCGGCATATAAATATGTCACCTTACAGTAGCATGTGATCGTCTGCCGGTGTTAGTGTGCAAACTCGTGCAAAGACAAACTAATTGGAAGCCTTGCAACAAGAAATGTCGTAAAACAAAATTCCAGTATCCACAAACAACTCGTAGGAGAGGGCAAAATTGTGGTATATAATATCACTTACCTTGTCTGTCGAAACAAAAGTGAATGACACATTGCATCCGACATTAATTAATGGTATACCAAAAGACAACTATATCTGAGGAATTTCTATGACTAATTGCACCTCCTGTTCATCATCTCTATCAACAGAGATGGTATCTCAGTTGTATCTTCCACAGCTGCACTAGCTGTGTATCATCTCTCCCTTTCTCCATCTCATCACCCTGTCCAGTCACAGACAACAAGGTCTCCACCTGTGCAGCTCTCTGGCGCATCCCGTCGGACGCCGACCCGGCCGATCAAGACCCAGAGATTCAGGACGACTCCACCACCTATGCCAGGCCCCTGGAGGTGCTGTGCCGCTTTGACAACAGCGACATTGGCAATGTGATCAGGTAGGCTAAATCCTGCTTCACTGCCAGGTTCAACAAAGCAATTGAGCAGGCTTTGAGAAAGGATCTTCCGGTGCAAAGTACCAGCCAAAGGAGCAATCCAGCCCTTTGTAAGGTAGTCTCTCTGTTCAATGTATTTTTAGTGGGTATTTGTCAAACTGCATTGCCATCGGGTTAGGGAACATGTCCACAAGTCCATTGCCACCAGGATGGGAAACAAGTCCATCAGTCCCAGCAACTTTCTTGATCAGACTTCCTCAGTGGGTGTAAACCTCCAGTGAAACAGTTTTAACACCTTGATCCATTATTCGTACTGAATGTTAACTGGTCTTTCGATGTCCATGCAGTGTTTTGTGGGAACCCCAGGGGAACGGAAGCAAAGCTCTCTCCGTATCAGACAACCACCTGACGAAGTGGGATTTGGAGGCCAGCGACAGTGAGGCTAAGGTGAGTGCAGCTTGTCTTTCGCTCTGCTCTTACTAAGTGCATTCCCTGAGTAACCCACATCATTACAGGCTCCTTGTGCAAAGTCGAGAGGACCTTTTTAGCTACCAATGGCATCCCTAGGGGCTATTCACCACATGCTCATGCTTATCTGCACATTAATTGCACTGGTGTGACAGCACCAATGCATTCGAGTCAAGAGACAACCTTTCCCTCCATGGCCCGTTAGGGGGTACTTTAGCACCAAGCCTATAACTTCATAACTTTCCCTCCTACGGTGAAATGCATTGCCATCTGTAGATCAATATTTCAAGTAATGTGCATTTTTATTTTGTGCCCTTATTGTATTTTTCTCTTGTTCTCGCCCTAACCAATTATATCCTTTATAACGTGGCTTCGGGGGTGAAAAAGTGGACATCCCCAAGTGTGATGTTTATCTGTTAAAAAAACCCAAAAACTCTCAGGTGAGTGGACTTCATGCCATCGACGGTGACCTTATGTAGCTGCTTGGCTCTCACCTGGATATGCAGCATGGTCACGGACAGTGGGCTGAAAACATGTTGCCATCGAGCCTGGCGAAAGCTTGCAAAACCTTTGTCTCATTATTGTTCACTGATTTATCTGCAAATTGAATCTCCTCTTGATTCGTAGCAACAATTTTCCTCTAAATCCCCTAAAAACTTCTACACAAGAAGTTTCAAAAGACAACAGCCCCTTTCCAAGGTTGACTTATTACAATGGAAAGAATTTCTTGAACAAAGGTGTTCTATCAGCTCCCTGAAGAAAAAGATTTTTGCAGGCTTTGACCTTAGCACTAGACTGGTGTACAGTTCCTAGGAAAATCTGCTGCAGGCTAGTAAAATGCATTTTGTAACTTGCCCGGCGATTTAGTCAAGAAATGTTTACCTGTTTGTCTTATTTGTAAAGATGAATAAAACAAATATGAAATTGATTTTCCGTGTTGTTCATTAAATTGTAACGGTTCTGAATCCTCCACAATTAAGTTTTAAATTTGGCAGCAAGACTTCACAGTTATGGTTGAAATAACGAAGTCAAAGTTAGTTAAGCTAAAACATGTCCAGTGGGTCAGTGAAAATTTCTGTAGGCTTTAAAAAATAAAAATTAACTTGCCTGGTGGGCTACTGGAAAAAAGCTCAAGGTCAAGGCCTGATGCTGGCATCTTTTGTACAAGAAGTTAGAGAATTTCAGCTTTGAAGAAAGATTCTTTGGAGATTTGAAAAATTAAGACTCATCGAGCTTTTGCCATCCGCAATGAAACATAGGTTTCCAGCTCTGTTGCCCTGGAGAGCAAAGGTCATCCAAAGTTCACCGCAGGTCGATGGAACCCGCACCACAACAACACCCAGGCAGCTACAGCCAATGACACCACCATACGGGGCTGGGACCTCCGAACAATGAAGTAGGTTACCCCGTCATCTCCACGAATTCATCCTAATGTTTCTTCTTTCCTGTCCAGTCCAGTAACCTTAATCCCTAGGGCATATGTAAAATCGTATTGAAGTCAGTGGATTTAGTCTCTTGGAACCAGCCACCATGACTGCACGTGAGGCTTAAGGCCTTGGTAGTGTTAATATGTGAAGGAGATGCCATAAGATCGTTTACAGATGGTGTGACTTTTTAACACTCACCTGTTGAGTGCTTTTAAGGGATGGCGTGATTTGTCTGAGAATTAAGTTCCGTATAAGGTTAAGGGGTGTCTGAAAACAGCAGCCCTTGTCCTTCCTTTTGAGTTTGCACATTTTCTCTAATTTATGCCCAAGGCATAGTTGTCACATCGTCGTAACAGTCTGTATGTACCTATATCATATGCCATGGCTTTTACTCTCCCTTTTTTTGTGTTCAATCAACAGACAGTGCTATACAATTGAGAATGCCCATGGCCAACTCGTGCGGGACCTGGACTTCAACCCAAACAAGCAGTACTACCTAGCCAGCTGCGGAGACGACTGCAAAGTCAAATTCTGGGATGTCCGGAAGACGGAGTCCCCTGTACTGACACTCACCGATCATTCCCACTGGTGAGATCATTAAGTATTGTTTATATATATACATGTACATTGTATATATGTTCATCCAACTGCGCATTTAGCACCAATTACAGGATGAAGTGACAGTTAAGGAGACAATGAAGAAAGGGTCAGTTTTAGAGGTGGGAGGAAATCCCCAGATAAATATTCCAGGGAAACCCACAGAATCAGGCAGGGACTGAAAACCCAATCCACATGCTGACGTAGGTGGGATTTGAACCCAGGTCGCAGTGGTGGAAGGTGAGGAAAGAGCCACTCCACCAACCTTACTCCCCTTCGTCACTGTTTGACTCGGAGGAGTCGGCTGCAGGTTGATATTGCCTTTAACCCCAACCAAATCTTTTGAAACCCAACACTTTGCCCAATCCAGCACCTGGGTTTTGCAGCATTTTGAAGGATTCACGACTGTTACTTTGCCTCGGCCATGATGCCCCAACTTTGGCGTAGTACAGAGAATGTGCCATTGGTTTACTGAGTTCAACAACCACACCCATTCATCTTGTACTTTATTGATCAACTCAAGAGGTATCCCCACTTGGAGTAACCATTTTTAACACACTACAGTGGAGACTGAACTGCAACCAGTTCCATGACCAGCTAGTCTTGTCCTCCAGCTGTTGCTGTGTGGTCACATCTTGATGGTGCACCATAGTGCAACTCACTCACACATTTCATGCATTTCACATTTGCAGGGTATGGAGTGTGAGGTACAACCAGTTCCATGATCAGCTAGTCTTGTCCTCCAGCAGTGACAGCAGGGTCATCTTGACCAATGCTACCTCCATCTCCTCTGAGCCCTTTGGCCATCTGGATGAAGATGATGATGACAGTGAGAAAGAGGAAGACGCAGAGACAAAGTGAGTAGCTTAGCCATTTCTCCTGTGAAGTGTACCCCTGTAGTCTTGGTGCTGGACGCTACTATGTGTAATGGATTATTAGTTCTGAACCGCTATCACAATAGATCTAGTTTAGTAATATTTGTGTATGATAGCAGTTCACGCATTATCGTCATCATCAATAAGTTTTAATCTATTACAAGCAGTAGTGTCTTGCACCAAGACTAACATGCCTCAGAGTTTGGCTCCATGTATATTTCTTTGTTGTCTAAACCACAGGCCCAAAGAGCCAATCAAGGATGGGCTAATCGCCAACTACGAGGAACATGAGGATAGTGTGTATGCCGCAGAGTGGTCTACGGTCGACCCCTGGCTCTTCGCCTCACTCAGTTACGACGGCCGACTGGTCATCAACAGGGTCCCCAAGGCCGAGAAATACAAAATTTTGTTATGAATGGAGCTTACTTATGATACATGTGACGAGGTGACAATTCTGTTGGCTCTCTGCACTGTAAACCCAGTGGAGTCTTGTTTGGTAGACGCAGGGACCGAACGTCTGTTGGAGGATAGTTATTGTGGGGACACAAAAGGTTGTGACGACACACCAAAGTTCTAACAGAGAGAGACCTAAACAGTAAACAGAATCACTCTCCCACGACATGGTTCAGCCTCACTTTGTGTTATCTGAAGTTTGTATGATCCGCGAATATCGCTGTCCATTCCTTGGTGGCCGTCCATTCCTGATTGTTGACTGATATGTGAACCAGTGAATGGTTGAATTGGTTATTGGTACCATGTTCTATTTGTTTGGCACCCCAATCTACAGTCCACAAAACCTCTGTGCTCTCCCCTGTTGCACAGTGCCGGATTGGGATTAAATCCCTAAAAATTTAAAATGTCAACCTCATCAGCTTTTGGAAGAGGGACATTCTTGAATGGAGGTTAATGTTGGTCAAGAAAGGGATAGCCCCGCCCCCCACCCTCACCCCCAAACACCAGCCAGGTGTGCAGAGATTGTTACATTCGACTTAACTGCTGATATTGCAACAAGCTGGTTTCCCCTCTAACATTTTCCCAAAGAACCTCACCCAGTTTCAGTTAACAGAAAATGCTGTCTTGTGCCCGCCTGCATCTATCTTTATTCTTCTTGTACCACCTGATGGGAACCTGCCGTGGACTCTTTAGGTGATAATAAAGATGATACATAATGCTGACTGTCCCTGTGGCTCACTTGATGGCATATAATTATATTATTGTTGCTATGTAAAAAGTGCTTGTTGATATTGAATGTATGCAAATGAAACATTCCTAATAAATTGATGAATTACATGAAACAGTTTATGTTGTTACAATGTACTTCTGATTGGTGCTTTATTTAACTCTGTAGTGAGCAGGAATTAGTGAGCAGGAGTTCTGTTTTGCATTTTGGCCTGAGCTTCCCCTGTGAGAATCAAACTTGAGAAATGCACATTGGTGTGATGTGGCTTCGATAGAATCGCGTGCCCACCCGCTTATTTTTTCTCAAATTTGTCTTTCTAATTTGGGGACAACTGATAGGAATGGGAACAGACACAAATTAAGTGATTAGCCACTCTTTTTCAATCAAAAGTGAAGTTTTTGAAAAAGCATGTCTGGAATGGGATGTGGGCTTGTCACCTCTTGATAAATCCGACCGTTCGACTCCCCCCAGTGCCCCACCTCATCCGCCGAAGGAACTTTTAGCTCGTAGGTCAGTGTCAATGACCAATCTCCTAACAGCTCACTCTTTTCTCAGAAAAGTTCCTGACTTAGCCTGCGTACATTTGGATGTGCTGTTTTAGCCTTCAGATTCGAAACTTCTATGAAGTGGCACTTTTCGCAGGAAATAAAGTGTAAACTGTTTACTACAACAGGCACATCGTTAATTTTTGTTGAGGTTGTACCCACGTGCTCCATCTGGACGTTGAGACAGAACGGGTGGAACTAAACATTGGAATAAAGGTGAAAGGGAACAAAGAATAGCAAAGCAAATTGAAAAAGTTATTTTTAAAACTTTTAATCTGGCCTGATAAATGTTTGAGATGTTTACGTATTTACTCTACTGCAGCCTGCTGAGACAGTTAGTAAATTCTGTTAATTAATAAATGATTGATATTAATTTCTTGTTAATGTTAATTAACATTAACAATTATTTAGTAAAATCTGCTTTGAATCTGCTTTAGTAAAAATGTGCTTTGAATAATGCTGATTCATTGAATGCCGCTTGTTGATGGTAATAGTAAGTACTGATCATCAAGCCAACCTCTTCTGTGACGTCAAACTTACAAATTACAACTTAAAAGTTTAACAACAAATATTTCAAGTGGCCAAAATTATTGAAACATTTTACGGCATCAGAATTGTGACTATGGACAATAAGAAACGTATCATACAGAGCACTCGTCCTTCGAACCCCCGACTCTCAGGTCATGAATTACAACATTTTCTTCATGTCTTTGTCATATATCACGAAAGGTTTCACTAGTATGTTAATTAAATAAAAATTAGGATTTGCACGATTTGCTCAATCTAAGGCTGCAATTCCCCCAACAAAAGTGCATTAGCAGATTGGGGAGGGGGTATTTCGGCCATGGGCGTCAATCAATTTTCGAAGGGGGCGGGAATAACTTTGACATACATTAACGGTAACTAGAACGCGAAGAACGATACCCTATTTTGGATTCTAGATTGTTATGGTGCAATTTGAGGCAATTTCTGCCCACTTACACTGTTTTTAAGGATATGTTTTTGCAAGATTTATTAAATTTTTCAAATAATTTTACGCAGAATATGTTGGCCTACTCCCCTATACTATGCAGGGTCCAGAAAAAAGTGGAAGGGAGCAAATTATGATAGTGGAGGACAGGTCCCCCTTGCCCCCTAACGATTGACGCCCATGAATTTTCGGCACATAGAGGAGCCCATAAAGACCCAGTAGATGGTGTTCCGCTTTTGCCTTCGTGCACAATGGCATAACTGACGTTAAACGTCTGGGGCACCCAAGGGGTGCACACATTTTTTCAAGGGAGCACCACAAGAAAATAAACTGCAGCTGCATAGCTGTATAAACTCAACGGAAATTATTTGTAGATTTCCTAGGGGGACGTCCCCCGTGCCCCCCTCCCCCAGTTACGCCACTGTTCGCGGTCCGTTTTGTTTGTTTGTTTGTTTTTCTTTCGGCTCCACCCGCCCTCGTCTTACTGCGCATCCACATATTCTCCATTGTAGTCGAGTCTACCGCGAGTCCCGTCCTAAGTCCCCTCAAGACCAGTAACAAGTAACAAGATGAACAACGACAGAGGAATGCTTTTGTGACAATTCGTTTGAATAAGTTTGTGCCGGACTCGGCTACAACACTGAAATTCTTCTCCCATTACGGCCTTGCCTGTTGCAGTCAGAGCGAATCTATTTCGGGTTTCACTGCTCGTTTAGATTTAGATTTTAAATTTTAATCGAAGGACATCATGAATACATTCCACGGGGTAAGGTTTGTAGCACACTGTGATTCCAGATTCCAGATCATTTTCAGGAGGTTGATGAGTATACACTTATGTTCTGGAGCGCTGCTCCGTAAACCCACGCCCTCCCGCCCATTCTCGCCACTTGCAAACCCCGCCCTTATCAAGCGTATAAAAAACAGTATCTTGGAATGTGTTTGTGTTCAGAGAACAATGGGGAACTGGAATGCAATCATTGTGACAAAGTGTTAAAAAAGTCCCCATTCAGCGCAGGATTTGGCATTACAGTATGGGAGAATCAAGGGGGTCAATGGACCATATCCCTCAGCCATATTTTGTGGGCGAAAAATAATAAGAGAAAGACAAATTAGGGGCCTATTTTATGCCCCCCTTCCAAAAAGCGTCGAAAATGCCCAAAATGTAGCAGAAAGGCCACAAAAGGATACGTGAGAAAAAATGCCCTCAAACAATTCCCCCCGCAACTTAGTTCTGGATCCAACCTTGTATTTTGAAGTGAAGGCTCTGCTCACTGTCATACCGCCCACTTCATCATCAATGCGACGACTGAAACTAAGTTTACTTTACGGGGTGAGAACGCACTAGAGATGCACCAGCGGCGGACCTTGTTCAGCTGGGGTTGTGCAGCCACACACGGCCAGCCCATCACAGAACGAAGAAGTCTCGGTTGTTTTGTTGGCCTTTGCGCCCTCGCAACTATCCCAACTATTCGTGGCTCGCAAACCCAACGCCACGGTTTCAACTCCAAATATGTCCGGGGAACCCCGTCTTCTTGGCACGCCTGGGATGTGGGGACTCGGACGCGGGCACTCGCAGAGTCGTACTCTGAAGGGTTCACCACGGCAGATCATTTGAGTTGATTTCAGCTGGGGTTTGGCGAGAAAACTATGCTTTTCTTCGCCGGCACCACATGTACCTACTAGCTGCGTGTAGAACTCTGTTCGCACCCTGGAATGCACAATTACTTTACTAAGTTTAGTTATCATGAACTTAACAAAACGTCTCTATTGAACTTCTCTTAACAACATCACGTTATTGGTTACGAACGCTTCACGTTCTGGTTTCAGAATTTCGACCACCAATCACCAAAGAGTTAATTTGAAACAAATAATTGAATGAAAAGATAGTAAAATTGTTTTCAATCAAGGAGAGATTCAACGAGTCCGAATACTTTGTCAGTAATGATATAATTAGGTCTCTTTGTGGGCGGGGTTTGGATGTTTGGGAGTTAGTCATGAATAGATAGGAATTCATTTGGAAGACAGTTGTAATCTGATGAGCTTAGCCCATGGTTCAATGGTTCCAAACTTGGGCCAATGACACTCAATTGTGACGGGTCGGGGGTGGCACTGTGACCCCTTGAAATGATTGAGAGCTTTTCTGTCTTCAATGGAACCCCATCGGATAACAATTGTCTCCCAGGCCATCAAACACTGAAATCAAAGCTGACCGATACCGGACCAGCGTTTAGTCGCAAAAGATAGCACATCTCCAGAAACACCAGTAAGGCTAGACGTTAATAAGAATCAACCAAAAAATACCCCTGAAAAAGGAAAAAAATTAGCTGACAAAATTCCTTCAAATCAGGTTCGAATTTTTATTCCAACACTCGATGCCCTCAATTTTTGTCTCTCTTTCTTCCTGCAAGACTTGTTTAGGATATTGCTTAACCTAAGTAACTGAGTAATTCTCAGTAAATCTAAATCTATATTGACGTAAAATAACAACACGCTCCAGACAAGGTCAGATAACAAAGTTGAACTATTAAGAGAAAGAAAATCCTTGAAAATTTTCAGTTTTGTTTTGCTTAGTATTAAGTTTCTCTCTCTTCCCCTTATGTTCTTATTACAAAGGACAGGAAACAGAAAAACACACAAATGTAAATTTATTCACAGAAACCTAAGTTCGTGGAAGTTTCAGTTTCCCTATGCGCTCTCTTTTTTTGTTAGAACCTGGTCAACCCATGTGGCAGACCCACAAAAGAAGTTTGGTGGCTAATTGATTCGAGCATGCGCAGTAACTTCGAAGTAACTATTATGGGATAAGTTTTGCAGTGTAGCCAGAAAAGTTTCAGTACGTGCAGTATGCGGTAGGTCAAATCACATGCTAATGATAACGGAGATTTTCTTGCATTATCGAAGCTACTTCTTGGCCGAAACCTTGCTTAAGCTGGCACTGCTTATACGTTGAGTATCTTCAAAGGATCAGGTGGGTGTCTGGGGCGTCCAGTGTTGAATTTTGAGAACTTTCAAGGGTGTTTTGTTCAGTTATAGTCGGGTTGTAACGTAGCCACGCACTAACGCATGGCGAAGTTTTTGTGTTGCGTTATCGTGCACATTGTTGGGTCATGTGGTTAGAACGCGGCAACGTGTCGTGCAGGAACTTTAGAAACTGTAGTACACCAGACTTCAAACTTAAAATAATCCATTGTTAGATCATTTTCTCCCGCGAAACCTATGTGAATGTGGTGTCTGTTAAATGTACCTTAGTACTGGGGGCTGTTTTGCCCGCAGTTGACAAATTTACGGAGTTTTATGCAGTGACAAGTACGCTTTGAGTTCAGTGGAATTCTTGTCCGTTTAGAATTCGTTGCCATACATTGAGCACAAAATACACAGGCAAGAAATGGACCAAACCATTGCAGTTGTAAGGGGTGTTGTCTCAACCCTCCAGTAGAAAAGCGCTAAAGTTAACAACTACGCCCCCAAGATATTTTCTTGAAATTTGACATCAGATTTACACAACAGACCAATTGCTATTTAAAGTTGATATTGGCCTTCACTGAAGGTTTATTTTGGTCCTTGAAATCCCCAGCAGGTTTTATTTTGGCCAGCTGTCCCTCCATCATTGCTAGAAACTTTTTGTTAGGGATCCCTGCAAGCATGTGGTGAATTTGACCAGCATGCACAGAACTTCAGAAGTACACAATGTACATGTACTGTATTTCAAACCAAACCGCAATTTTTTTAGCGGTCATGAAAATAATGGTGCTGCTCTGAAACTATTTTGCCGTGCATGTAATCTCTGTGACATTTGTGAAAAAACAGAACTCGGCATGTTTTGCTTGTGTTGTGGATAATTCCTTCGACTTGAAAGCTTCATCTATTTTTGGCGGTTGCCAGCCCAGCAGTTTGGTTTCTTTGTTGGTAGTGCTTGTTGGCTGGGGTCTATTGTGTTTCACAAGTCTTTGTTCTTTACATTTTCGGAGCACCTGCCCTCTCCAAAGTTGACTTAAAGTGCACTTTCAAATTAGATTAGAAAGAAATGGAGGGGATGGTGGATTTGAACTGTGGCATTTTTTGATCAACAACTTGCACAGTGTTTTAGGAGCCTTTGAAAAACCCTCCAGAAATTGTCTGTCAGATTGCCCATTTGCTTTAAAACAGCAACTCCCTATTTGACGTTATTTTGATCTGTGTGGGTAATGTGGGGAAACGTGGCACGTATACAATACTTACGTGATTGTGATTTGGGCCTGTATGTAACTTTACAAAACTCTGTGACAGGTCGGCTTACATGTACATGTAACATTTTGATCCTCTTCAGTGTACAAGGACATGTTAAAATTGTGTCTCATAACAAATGGTTTTAAAATGCAGAATTCTTAGGTATATATACCTCAGTAAATTCAAACACCCCGTGTCTGAATTCTTGGCCCTCTATAATGTAAGAGTTGTTTCTTATTAATATTTCCAACCCAGATTTGTCAGTGTATACAGTGATAATCGTTTCATTCACCTGTCCAGTCTTTCTGGGCAGACTCACATGTACAGGCACTTTATTTGAACATACACACGGTGTGCATAATTGTGCCCGAATAATGAAATTAATTTGACGTTCCACTGAATCTACAAAAAATCACCCTTAACAACTAAAAAGTTTTTTTTTCTCCATAGCACGTTTGTCCAGGAATTAAAAAACTTTAACACATCTATTAAACACTGGTAAATTACAAATATCCAAGATATTAATTATGCATTTGTATTTTGGGAAGTTGAAATTGAGGTTAGTTCAAAGTATTTTATAAAAGGGAGAAATAGTGCGGATCTTGCGATAATTAGTGATTAAAATTTCATTTGGTCTTAAACCTCAACACTTAGGATCTAGGATTCATCATGTATTTTCGCTTGTGATTAAGCATTAAAAGTCAAAAGATTCATCCATTTATGCAGCCAGTCACTCCCGTTTATGTGGATATCACAAGCAGTACATGTACATGTACCCATCGTCTGAGTCCTGTCAAAAGCCACGTGCATGCCACTTTCAACAAGTTTTAAAGAAGAACCATAGTTTTTAAGTTGATTATACGCTTTTGCAACCAGATTATTGCCCGTTTTGGTTTTGTTAAACTTGCTAGTTTTCAGTGACAGCAACTAGCAGTGGGAACGCCTGGCACATGTACATGTATGTACTTTTGGAAAGTTTAACATTTTCCTCCCTGAATAGCTCCGCATGCACATGTTGTCTTCTTTATCAAATGACCTTGCATCTAATCCTTAAGTCTCCACATATGTAGGTATTAAACTACTGAACATTACTACAGCAAACTTCACAATGCCAAGAATGCAAGACAGGCATGTGAGGCTTGTGCCATGTATGACCACGTGCATGATGTGACTTGCCTCATCTTGGTACCAGGAAGTTTTACAAATATTCAGTCAGGATTGAGTGCTTGCATAATACACATGTAACTGTACTACAGCCTTTCCACTGTGTTGTTATCATGAATAGCAAGTTTGTTTCTCTATATATTCCAGCAACAGGAAATGAGTACGAAAAACAAAAGTGCCCTGCCCATTGTGAAGTGAACTTATAAATCATGTATCTACCGAGGTCCTGGCACGAGAATGCCTGCATGCTTAACATGAGTTTGTTACCAAGTGCAGTGTGTTCCAGGTTGTTACTTTACATACGCTGAACAAGTGAGCTTGGTTGAGACTCTGATCCTGGAGGTCTCAAGGCCTTGAGAGATTGAGCTGTACAAATAAAAACCTACTTAAAAAGCTCAGGATAGTGAAAATGTTTCGCTTCTAGTTGGTTTTATACTCTTTGTTTAAGTTCCGTGGTAGTTCTGTTTCTGCTGAAAGCAAGACCGTGTTTGTTGAAAAGGAAACATTATGTTTGAAAGTTCTCTGTAATTATATTCAAGCAACAGGAAATTTTGAAAGTTTCAAACATCATGTTTCTTTTCAAATTGAAACTTATTTTTGTGGTTTAAATTTTCGTTGGATAGAACAACTGATTTTCTGCAAACTCTCTGCTTGATAAGCTGCCTTAGAATTTCGCCATGGCTCGTTGCTAAACTTTCTCAGTGAGCACTTGGAAAAGTTAAGGCCAGTTGCTGTAAAAGAACCGTGTACCAAGAAAACTTCCCTTCAAGTTTAACAAGCAAAGTTATTACTAATCAAATAAACATTTGAGCTGGGCATTTTTGGAATTTGGAGTATGTAAATAGGAAGTGAGTGAAGTTAATTCTCCTTCTCCCAAGTCTATTTGTGGGATGGCTTCTTCACCCTTCCAAAGTTTCCAACGTGCCACAGCCCGAGGTGAGTGCACGGTTTGACCTTAACAAATGTGCGATGCATTTGGGTTGGGACCGAAACAAAAAATAGCTCACATGCTTTTCTTCTGGGGAGTCTTTTTTGCAGTTTGCATGTACATGTACTACCTCTGATGTTATAAGGTGGAAACGGTTTTTGTGTTCCAGTTTTTGGTTCTCTGCCTGGACATGTTTGTGTCACTAGTTGCAATACTTTCTGATCTAGTTTACTCATCTAGACGTCCTTATCCACCTGTACACCCACGCCTTGTGTAACTTGTATATATGTACGTGTACCGGTACTTAACTGTACAAGCCGATACTTAACAGCACAAGCTTCCCTGAGCTTTCCTTTTTGGAATCTGAGACGAGGCCAACTTCAGTCGTGTCAACCACTCCAGGAAAAGTTTTGAAATCTTAACCAAGGATCACAGTTCCTGTATGTGTTGGCCTTTAGTGATGCATTGATTGGGGCACTGTGCTCGTGCGTACATGTATACACTCTATGTACGTATTTGGATCAACGTGTATTGATGGCCAGAGATCCCAGAAATTATACTCTTCCAACGTTAAGGCAACAAACTTTCAATGGGTATTGGAAGCTAATGCATGTTAGCCACTCTGACACAAATGTGTATGATTTAATAATTAAATACATGTAATAATCGACTGTGAGCAAACAGCAACATGCTAAGTTGCCCTTCAGTTGTGGTACTGGTACTGTGCGTGTATTTCTGTTGCCCAGGTGATTAAGATACATGTAGCTGTGAATTAAAAAGCTAGAATGTGTAGATGAACTTTACGTACCGTGGCCAGGAGGCCAAGCAGACACTTGAAGCCATCAATAAAAATTGAAATACATGCATTTCATATGAATATGTGTGTGTACAGCACGTGCACTAGTGAACAAATGGATGTACATGTATGTGTGCATGGTGAAAAATTCGCAAAAAATCTAGCTGCATGCTAGTTTGAAGTTGTCCCTTTTCTATAAGTTGTCCATTTAACAATTGTGGCCTGCAGTGTAGGGGTCCATAGGGTTTTGTTCGCCTCATGTGCCATTTGCCCCTTAGGGTGTACAAAATACAAGGACCCCCGTCACTGCAGGCATCAGTTGTTTTATTATTATTGTTTTATTGGTCAAAGATTTTATGTCGAAATGTTCTTACATGAACATGTATATCTATAATATAATATCTATAATATAATATAATATCTATATCACACGATAAATTAAAACACCTTGACAAATTGAAAGAGATGAACAGTAACTTAGATAAACATTTCAAGGAAAATTATTGAGTGTTATGTACTTTGTTGTGGATGTTTTCATTTTTTTTGCAGGAGGGGTAGAAATCCAGGATTTACATGTGTAATAAACTTGTTTGATAGAGGAACCTGTGATCCATAAAAAATTGGGGGTTTTGTCGAGTGGTTGAATTTCAAGACATCATGTGCAACAAGATCCGTTGAAAAGTATTGACAAGATTGAAGAGCAGATGAGAAGATACAATGGCATGAGCATTTTAACAGCAATGATGATCGCAGCAGAAGCAGTGATCAGAGCATATTTGTGTTCCACGAGCCAAGTAGTACCACTGCGGCTTTCCCCCTCCCCCGTATACCCAAGGTTACACAATTACAATGTAGGAGACATGACATACACTATCAACTTTTTGAAAGATCACCGTGATCCATCATTTTTGCGGCCTGGCAATATTGCCAGTGTGCACGATGTGGGAATGATAAATGTGTGCTTGTAACATGTCACGTGATCAATTTGCAACCAATGAAAAATTCTCTGTTTATGACTGTGGTATAAAACACAAGTTGATTTATTTTGTGTATTTTTAGCACTGTGATGGGAGACGCTGTTAGCAAGTGAAGTAATTTTGTAGGACTCAATTTGTTTGGGTTCATCTTTAAAAATTGAGGAAAGGAGAAGAGAATTGAATTGAAAGAAACTTTTTCTTGCTTTGCAGATCGAAGGACATCGTTTTCTGGTCATGAATGGGGAGGACAGCACTAGGCTGCGGGGTCGACATTTTGAGGGGGCAGAAGTTAGCCAATCACCGCGTCGCAGTCTGCGCACAAAATCGGGAAGCCCTGTCATTCTCCGCAAGGTAGGTATCAAACAGACAAATACTCTGGTACATGTATGTAAACAAAGCAGAACAAAGTGAAATCTAGAGGCTTGTAGAACAAAGGTAGTGGAAAACCAGTTTAGTATTCCATGTAGGGTTCAATGACCTGAAAAGATAATTGTGGAAATGACGGTGATGCATTCAAGATTGTTCCGTGAACCCCCAAACAAAAAACAAAAGTAATGCCAAAGGGAGGCTATTTTTAATATTCTTGATGTGAATTGGGTTCTGTCTCGAATGGTAGTCTGTCTGACGGTTCTTCACTGCAAGTTTGTGAACATTCCAGTGGAATTGCATCAGGGTGACTATGGACACCAGTTTGTTCTCAATCAGCCAGTTAAGTTTTGTAAATAGCCCCCTCTGTTGTTGACTGGTGGTCAGGTTGTCAGAAGCCAGGACATGCACATGTGCAATACATCAAAATTAACATGTGAAAATGCACTGTTGGTTGTCACTGGCACGTTTTCCTGCAGAATTCTTTGTGCTCTATGAGGGCCAGGCATTGTTGTGAATTAATGTGGTGCATGTAATTAATAGTGCAATAGCGTCATTTTATTAATAACATGGTTAATTTTACATGTGTACACGTACATGTATGTACCAGACTTTCAAATGTAAAATGGTACATTTCTTTCAGTAATCCATCCTTCCATCCAAATGTTTTCTGATGCTTTCATTTAGTTTTTAAATTTCAGAGATAAAATAGTTTGGGTTGAGCATTTCTTTCAGTAGTGTTGGGTTGTTTAAAATTAGGTGGAATCAGCTCTATGATGTGTTACTGCAGTAGTTGGAGTAGGCGTTGAAGGAACTGAAGGACTGTAGATTCAGTTGATTTGACAGTTTAAAATGTAACGGTTTGATTAATTAGACCAGTTTCATGCTGTGGAAGTAAAGTGTTACACATTGATAAATTTGTTGTGAGATGAAACCTGTATGGAAAAGAAGGAATTCAGTCAAATCCCTCCCCCCAAGTAACCACATACCCTCACACAAAACTTCATACATGCATGAAAGTATCTGATCAAACGCCATGTGACATTTCAAACATGGAACAAGTTTTGAGCTTTATTGACATGAGAATGTTTATGTACCAAATTCTCCGACATAAATGCTACCTTTGTAGCGAAGAGAAAGCCTCAGGTAGGTTGCTCAGAGACGGCAACATATACATATACGTACATGTATCTATATACATGTACATATACATATGCAGGCATCTCTCAAGAAAGCTTGCCAGCTCCACCTAATTTGACTTATATTAGGACCCCCCCAAAAAATAGTTCTGCTTTACATGCCTCTCAAAAATAGGGTCAGTAGGTCAGAAAATTTTTTTTCGGTCTTTTTTGGTGCCGATTGAACAGCATGAACAGGGACGAAAGCGACCAAAAATCGCCTCAAAAGGGATAACTTAACTTGCCATAATCTATGTCAAAATTTCTACAGTGGACAATTCTGAAGCATATTGTGTGGTAAGCGTCCATTATGCGTCCAGATGGGTGGGCAATTAGCCTCGTTCCGCTGCAGGAAATTTTGTGGAAGCACGCTTGCTTCAAGTACGAGCAAAACAACCTTGAATTTAACTCGTGAACATACAAACACACACAGACAACAGAGTAAGTTCTGTGAATGAACTGGCAGAAATCATCTTGCAACATCAATGTTTTTCGATGTACAGCTGTAGGGTTGCGTGCATGTACAGCCGGAGTATAGTGTAATGACACCATTAGTATAGACTGGCTGCTACATTTCCATCCCGCTTTCTTTGCATGGGCGCAGCGCAGCGCAGCAGGAACGCAACATTGCTTTAATACATTGAGCTTTGCACACGTTTTCACCACTGTGACGGCAGAATGGGAAGGGAACTCGTGAAAAAAGTTGACGTTTCTTTTCAAAAGTTGCAAATGTAAGCAGCAAAACATGTAAAAAAGACGTTTAAACATGAAAAAAGGTTGGTCAGAGGTGATTTGAAAAGACAGGAAAGACAACAGGATTTGTTTTTTAATGTTTGAAAATTTTGTAAAACTTTAAAAAAAATTTTCTTGCTTGCCGATAAAAAAAATTAGGGTGGCGCCCAAAAGTTTGGGTTGGTTGGGAAACTGGAAGCAGCAGAATTGTTTCTTGGCTTTAGCTACCCGGCCCCAGTTCTACCCCTCCGCCCCTGCACCCCCCCCAAAAAACCCCAATAAGGGTCATTCTATAAATTTGGGGTCCAATTTTTTCCCGTCCCTGTTATGTCTGGCATATGATTTGTTAATGTTTAGAACTCATTGTTTAATTTCAAAGACTGAATAAGAACGGAAAATTACCTGTCAAACAAACGAAAATAATTTGAAGTCAATGTCAGTGATACATCCCCTGTCAAACATGTCAGATGGTATACATACCAGAGGTAACAGGGATGGAAAAATGTCACACTTTGGACCCCAAATTTAAAGAATGACCCATAAATAAATTAAGAATTTGCGGGGCCAGCTTCCACTTCCAGCTTAACAGTAGGGTTTCTTTTGCAACCAAGCCCCATTTCTTTTGGGAGGGGGGGGAGTCTGAATGCAGCTGGCCTTGCCAACCTTGACATGACCAGCCATAGTTAGCGTAACTGAACAAAGCTGGCTGCGTCATATTTTCAATATGCTGTCTACCAAAGCCAGTGTCCTACTTCATCCCTCGCACCGGCACATGATTACATACATGTTAACATGCGACTTAGGTATTGGCAGTAAACGCTTAAACGATGGGCCAAAGAGTATGGAACAGTCACCTGTACCAGAGTTAACATCCATTAGGTGGGCAGGGCATTCTCCACAGCTCTCTGTGAGGAAGACTCGTGGACTGGTAGAAACCCAAGCTGCATTATATACTTACCGTAAACTGTACTCGTACATGTCACAGGGATTGACGTTTTCAAAAATGTCTACTCGTATGTAAACTTTTCAGTCTTTGATTAGAACCCAGAATTTGATTTCATATTTTGTGAGATAGCAGAAGTTGAGAACACATTAATTTCTTTAGATAAAAGAATGTGAACAAAACACTGACATGTGAATCCTCTAAATTACATGTAAGTATAGAATCGAAAGGTTTTTCTCACATGTATGTTTGATTTAATCAAATCAAATCAAATCGAATCTGATCTCCTTAACGTTCACATTCCAAGCTCTTGTTCAAAAGTCACCTTCCATTTCAGTTTTTCACAGTCGACATAATGTACATCACGCATACATACGTACAACATAATAACTGTACATTGTATAACAATACATCCATTTTTGGGAGGGGGGCCTTCGGAGCTCATTATCATTCGTGATTAGTTTAAACACTGAGTGACCGCACATTACCTAATGGCATATATGTACATGTATATTACACTGCACCTGCTCTACTTCCACGTGTAATCTCCTGGCTGTCCCCAACTTGCAATCAAGCCAAGCCAACCAACTCATGCATCCAGTCCTTCCCGCCTCAGAATCATCCGCAGTCCCGCTAATGGGCTTTTTGTTCTTAAGCTGCTTGCTGAGCAAAGAAAGGAATGCCTGTGGACCAGGAAATGATGCCCCTAAGAAGAAGACAGGCATACGTGTAGCCCTCACTCTCCCTGCCTCCTTGCCCAGCTTTTGGGGTTATCATCATTAGCATGAAACCCAAGTTTGCTTTGTCTGTTAGTCATCACAGATCAGAGGTTTATGAAAGCGGCTAGTACATGCACATAGTTAACGATAGTACCACATCTTTGCACATGCATGGAATGTCATTTCCATCTATGCCCAACCAGTCTCAAATTTGAAAAGTATGCTTTTTCTCACTTTTTTCATACATGTACATGTACACGTGCTACATGTACATGTAGTTGGAGCATTTCTGATGAGCCGTCATAAGTTATATACATGCTTTTACTTGTGTTATTTTTTATATATATTTTTTAATAATAAAAGTTACTATTTTTATGACATATTACCCCAAAGTCCTTGTCAGCCTCCCTTTTTGTAATTTTATATCAATTTATTTTCTTCATTTATAACATTTGGGCGTCTGAAGAAGAAACAAGATTGCCTTGTTTACAAGGCTGCCCCCCCCCGTACATGTCAATCTTTCTTGCCATGTATAAGTTTCGGACAGTGATATCTAATCCCATCAACTTACATGTACATTTTTGACAGGTGTTACAGAAACTTTGCTTGTGAAACAAAGCAGGGGGTTTAGGATAGGCAGCAGTACACATTTTGGTTTGGTTTGTTTGTTTGTTTGTTGTTTTTTTTTTACTGAGTGCCTTTTCCGTCCTAAGTAAAACATTGCATAGTTACCCATATGTGTTTAAATACCCAGCTGCATGTAGCGGTATGACAAACAAAAAATGAACGGAGCACAAAAATAAGACCCAGATGAACCCTCCTGCAGCATGTAACACAACATGTACTATGCTGTGACACATACAGCACACAACTGCTTTAGTGGTCATGCAACACCTGACTACATTATTTACTAAATTGAATCGTCTTTTCATGGCACACACTTCCATCACTAGGCTCAGTCCTGTCATTTCGGTCAGCTTACAAAAGAACATACTGGGCAATCTTGTTTGTACAACCCGAATTGATGTTACATGTAATTTTTCTTCAAACCTTACACTGAACATCTGTTGGCCAAAAAGGTCTCTTCGTTTGGAAGTTGCATCAACACTGACACGTCTGTACAGATTGCATGCAAAGATTTAACGATGCTTAGGTACATGTACATTTACATGTACAGTCATTGTAATGCACATGTACCGTACACTGAGGGTTGCAGGCATTAAAAGAACTTTTGCTTTACAGTGGCCGCTCTACAGTGTCCATGTACATGTGGGATGCATACACCGATAGATTGACATGACCTGTAGTCGCTGACTATTTATTCTTGAACAGGTAGTTGAATATTGATTGGATTGACACATGTGATTGTCCTGAAACATCTGTGGCTGTTTTCGTCTTATTTTTTTGTTTTTT